ACGGCTTGAAAGTGGCCGACCCCCCCCGCGCATTGTTTTCATGCGCGCTGGTTTCCCCGGAGTTGGGTTTTCGCCGGCATGTTTTCTCAAGACGCTGCTCTCGCTAAGGCGCCGGCATCATTATCGGGCCCCGCTCGTTCCGAATCGCGCTCCCGCTGCAGCGCTGGCTTCATTTCCGCGCTTCCGCTCGTTCCGAGTCGTGCTCCCGCTGCAGCGTTGGCTTCATTTCCGCGTTTCCGCTCGTTTCGACTCGCGCCCCCGCTGCAGCGCTGGCGTCATTTCCCGTGCCATGCCACGGCATGCAATGCAATGCTAGGTTGATACTACGTTGCGCGGTGCCCTTCTACGCCATGCCATGCCGCGCTCTACAATGCGTCGCGTACCCTTTCGGGATCATTGCCCTGCTCGACATCCGACTGCGGTTCTGCGCCATGGAAAGGGGTGGGAGGGGGGGGTAGGATGTCAGATATGATGCGCGCGCGCCTAGCTTGCCCCCCCCCCCACCTCTCTCTTCCGCTCGCTCAGCCTGCCCGCCGCCCTTTATAGCGCATGTGCTGCCGCAACCGTTTGAAATTTCCTAACCCTTGATATTTTGGCTTCAGCACGGGAAACCCGGGGCGCGCAACTTCGGGCCAACGGATCCGCATGAGAAGGAGGAGGATGATTAAGAGGAGGACGAGGAGGAAGAGGGTTGTTTAGTCATAGCGCATGCGCTCGAGCTCAGGCCGCCCACGCGGCGCTTGCCGTTCAAGCCGGCTCAATCCGAATCGCCGACACCGCCTCCGAAGACGTTGAGGCGTTAACAACGCCCCCGAGAGCGGCAATCCTGCGGTTCGTCTCAAGGAGATCCAGCCTCGCCGACTCGAATGCCGATGTTGCTGTCTCCATCTCCTGACTGCGCTCTTGGACCTGACGACGGAGGTCCACGTGGTCCTCTGGGCCCCACTCGCGCATGACGTCCTGCATCTTGATCAGGCACGTACGCGCGGAGCGCAAGTAGCCCGCTGTCATGGAGGTCGTCTCGTCGTCGCTTGCGCCGCTCTCAGGGAGCTCGCGCCCGTCGCCGCGGCTGCGGCTGCGACCCCTGCTGGGGTTGCTCTCCTCGGACCCGCCGCCGCGGCCGCGGCTGCGGCTGCGACTCTTGCCGCCCGCCTTCGGGTTCTCGTTTTTGGCGGAGGCCGTCATCGCGGAGGCCGCCGAGCCACGGAGGTGGCCGGAACGACAAGGCCAGAGCTAACACGGCTACGGTCACTACCCTCGGCGAAGGTCGCCCCTCGAGCCTTTGGCGCGCGCGCGCGTGTTTCCACCCATGGCGAAGAACGCCCGAGGCGCCCGGAAAAAAAAGGGCCTTGCCAAACTTGAACCACAATACAAACAAACGATGGAATGCGGACGATGGGGCCCGCAGCGCGCCAAACAGCGTGCGTGCGAAACTAAATTCCATGAGCGTGAGCGCTTGTAGGTGAGCAGCGCAGAAACAGCGCCACGCGCTGGAAGGGGAGCGGTGGTCAAAGGAGCTCCTTGCGCTGCGATTGACACGTGGATGGTCAGACATACATACATACATACTTATATCTATATATAGCGCATGTGTTTGGTTGCTCAGCGCGCGCTTGGACGTTCCTTCTTCCCACCCATGCAGCGCTTGAGCGCTTGAACTTGCGCCAGCTGGCTCGATTGTAGTTCGCCGCATATCGAGCTCGCGCAGCTCAGCAACCATCCCAACAGCCTGTGAATACCCGAAGGCTGCATCAGCTGGCCCGACTGCATCCCATGGTCGACTGCTCCAGCTGCCTGAACTGCACGTTTAGGAGGGCCACAATCATCTGTGTCTGGTTCCCAAGGCTCACTGCATCCTCGGGTGGAGCGCCAACCCCACCCCATCCTGGTGCACCCTGCCCCCCCCCCCCCCCACACACACACACACACACACGCACACACACGCACCCCTCGTCCTCTCCTCTAGGGGGGTGAGGGCCCCCCCCCCCCCCCACACACACACACACACACACGCACCCCTCGTCCTCTCCTCTAGGGGGGTGAGGGGGGTGGGGTAGGGGGGGGGGGGGGGCAGGGGTGGAGATTGCACTTGCGCCTAGGTCCTTGAGCTCAGGCATGTCGCCCTTAAGCGACATCTCCCCCCTGGACGCCTTGATCCGAATGGCCTCGATCTCGCTCTTCTTGTCTGCGGCTTGACTAACGAGCCGCTGAGCCAGCCTCCTGCTCGCAGGGTTTGCGAGCACCTCCTGCAGCGACTTCAGCGCTGGGCCCAGCTTGGTGTAGAGTTGCTCACATTATGTATTCCTTTTCTGGAGCTATTTCTTTGTTTTCTTGGCCATCTCCGCATTCGCCTTTACCTTTTTTTGTGCCTTCTTATTCGCTTCCTCATTTGCCTTACCCGTCTTCTTTTTATTATGCATGGCCTTGTTATTTTTCTTGCCCGAATCTGACGCGGAAGAGCTCGAGCTCGAATCGTCGTCGCTATTCTCGTCCTTCTCCTCAAGCTCTTCTGACGCTTCTGGCTCTTCTGGCTCTTCCGGCTTTTCGGGGACATTGGCGAGCGGCTTGAACCTCTTTGCCCGGCCGACAGCTCGCCCCTGGGTGCAGGATTTCCCCTTCTGCCCTCCTTGCCCGCGCTCGCCTGTGCCCGCCGGGCGAAGCCTGCAGCGAAGTCCGAGGACGTCGTGGCGCTGCTTGTCGGACTCCCACGGTTTCGCCTGGATGGCATCCGCGTCGCAGCCCTGCTGCTGCCAATCGCCCAGCGGCTGAAACGTGCCACCGTTCTCGAAGTACTCTTCGGTCACCTCGAACTGAGAAGTGCACGCTTGAGCAGCAGTTCTTACCTCCGCCTGAGCCCCCCAGCCATGTCTTGGGAAAACTGCGTCGCATGGGGCGAATTGTCGTTGAAGCATGTCGGGATCTCCCCAAAGGCTCGGCGAAGCTTCGCTCCTGCAATGTTGCGCAGCTTGCACTTGAACGCGCCTTTCCCGTTGCTCCTGGCGATCGCCTTGCTGCGCTGCGCCTGGGGGCCGCATTTTTGGCAAAGCACCAATATTGATTTGATGTCTTCGTCGTGCTTCGGCCAAATTGAGACCTCGATGTTGTCGTTGTTATTGCCCTTGCCCTTGCCTTTGCCCTCGGGCGCGCCGGGCTCCGTGGCCGCGGGGATCATGTCTGTATCGGTCGCACCGTTGCCCTTGTCCTTGTTCTTGCCTTTGCCTTTGCCGCCGCGGCCCTTGCCCTTGCTTTTGCCGTTGTCGCCTGCGCATCAGGCTCCGCGGGCTCCGCGGGCTTTTCAGACGCACTAGGCTGAGCAGTTGCCTCCTCGTCTGATGACGAGCAGTCCAGCGCGCGGTCGCCAAGGGGCCTCCCTTCCCTCTGCAGCAAGTCGTGGGCGCCCAGCTTACGCTGCGGGCGCTGCGCCCCCTCGAGCGTTGCGAATTTCTCGGCCTCCTGGTATTTCTCGATGCAGTACTTGTGGGACTTGTGAGTGCGCCCAAGATAGATGCTCTCGTCGGTGGCGCCCTCGAAGCCCGCCTGGCAGATAACGCAGAGATTGTCTGCCATTGCTGAGAGCGCGCTGCGCTACCCCAAAGCCGCCAGTAGCGGCCGTTGAACCGAACCGGCTGCAGCGACAGCGCATTGCGCCCACCTTCACTGAGCGCGTTGCGATGCCCAAATGTACATGCCGAATCTGAGAGCGCATTGCGCTCCCTTTAGGGCGAATTGCGCTGTGTTCTCACGGGTGGGCATGTTTCTAGCGACGAGGGCGCCATATACATCGCCGTGCCAGCCCGCGCGGACCGCGCCCTCAGATCGCCGCGGGCTTCCTCTAGGCCAGCAGAGCGTCAGTCCAGTAGGCGGTAGGCGAAGGGTTTTCTCTTGGCAGCAGCCCATATTTGTGCGACCGAATACTGCGTACCCGAACAGACTGCACCGTATGCACACATCAGGCTGGCTAGATTGATCGCCGAGCATCAAGCATGCGCTATAGCCAATGGGTCCGCTGCCGTAAAACAACTTGCACTGGCAACCGTTCATGCGTGCCCGCTTCTTCGGCGACTTCACGGGATCGAACTTCTGCTTGCGCATCATGCGCATGAACATGTAGGTATTCGCCGTCGGCTTCCGCGGTTCACCACCTTCTCTCAAAGGCTTCTCGACAAATGAAATGCTGATCTTGTGGCTGAAATGCACGTGGCCCAGTTGAACGTCTCCGTTCAAAAGATCTCCCAATGCTCGGACTCGGAGCAACCGGGGCAAGGGTCCGAAGTCGGCGCCCACGGCTGGGCCGTCGGTGCTTCCCAAACTTTCGCAGCAGTGCCCCGCGTTCGGCCCCATGTCCAACTCCATGGGCGCAATGCCTAAGGACAGCAGCTGCGACATCCTGTCGCTGCAGCTGATAGCGCGCTGCGCTACCCCAGAGCAGCCAGTGGCGGCCGTTGAGCCGAAACGTCTGCAGCGTCAGCGCATTGCGCTCACCCTCGCTGGACGCAGTGCGCTTCATCCTACTGCGCATACAGACTCTTGCAGCGCATTGCGCTGCCTTTAGAGCGCATTGCGCTGTATGATCACCGGTTCTGCCTTAAGAGCGCAGCGCGTTGTATTCCCATTGGTTGAATTTCATGCGTCGCACCTGTATGCTTCGAGAACGGAACCACCCCCGCGGGCACCCCCAAAGTAGTTGCTATCGGCGTCCAGGATGATCCCAGATGGTGAAGGCAGAAAAAAGGGCGATGGTTCGCGACGTTGCGCGACCACTATCACAAGTGAACACGATTCTCCGCGACGCTGCGCGGCCACCATTGGGGCAGCGATGTGGGGGCAGCAGTAATACTATAGTCATGTCCTTATATTTTTGCACGCCGTCAGAGAGAATCGCATTGGCCTGGAGCCCCCCCCCCGCCGTTCCTATTCATTGTCCTTGGCCATCTGGGCTCGAAAACGCACCGAGCGACTCGGCGCTTCCCGCCCCCCCCCCGACGCTCTGCCCGACGCCCATGCCCAACGGCGGCCCGACCAGCAAGGGCGCGGGCCTCGACGAGAAGATGAAGGGCGCCACCCACCAGGAAGCACTCTACGAGCACAAGCGTTGGAAACGACTTGCACGGACGATGGTTGGCCAGGGGCGTTGGTCGCCTTTGAGTGGAACGCGCGCGACGGCCAAGTCGGGGAGACGTGGAAGTGGACGCAACCACCCGCGCCAGGGCCACAGCGCAAGGCGCTCATGGAGCAGAACGAGCTGGCAAATCGGCGGGACATGGCATTCGAGAGGGCGAGAATCCCCGCGATCGACCCCGAGGAGGAGCAGGGCAGCGAGCAGGTCAAGGGCAAGGGCAAGATCATGCGCGAGCCAGCCAAGAGCCAGCAGAGCCAGCGCAAGGCCAAAGCCAAGGCCAAGCCCAAGGGCAATGTTCGCTGCGGCAACTGAGTAGGGCGAGCTCATTTGCCATTCATTCTTAGTAAAGCGATGACTCTGGGCTGCTAGCATCACAGAAAACAGCGAGTTCTCGAGCGCCTGACCGGGGCGGCGGCGAAGCGGATGTCGCTGGGACTCATAGGGGAAAGGAGCCGGGGCAACCGCCAGTCAGATTGCCCCTCCGAGGTGCGGATTAGGTGCCGAATTAAGGGGCCTTCACTGCCAGTGCGGCACACCTTGGTTTGGGAAATGTCTTGAGGTTTTCCTTGAGGCTCAGTTGGCCGCGATCATTGCGGCGCGCATTGCGCAAACATCGACCGCGGCCGCCGTCGTTGTTCGTCGTCGCCGTCGTCGTCGCCCAGAAGCGCGCGGCGCTCGGCCCCCTCGCCTCCAAGCGCTTGCCGCTCCCACCCGCCTCCCCCGCATTCTACCTCGCCCATGCGCGTTGCGCTGCATAAGTACATTGCAATAACCATGGCGAGGGTAGGATGGGCGAGGACAGCTGTAACCGCCCGACCGACCGACCGACCGATCACACCCCGATAACTTCTCGACCGCCCCGTTAACGCCCCGAGAACACCCGATAACACCCCGCGCCACCGCCCCATAACACCCCGATAACACTCCGATAACACCCCGGTAACACCCCGATAACACTCGATAACAATGTTGTCGGCATGTCATTGAGGTGTTATCGAGGTGTTATCGAGTGCTATCGAGTGTTATCGAGCTCGGTAGCATTCGAGAACAATGCCATCGGAATGTCATCGAGGTGTCCTCGAGGTGTTATCGGGGGTGTTATCGAGTGTTATCGAGCTCGATGACACTCGGTAACGCCCCGATAACATTTCGACAGCATTGTTGTCGATTGTTGTTGGTGTGTTATGGGGGTGTTATCGATGTTATCGGGTTGTTATCGGGCGGCCGCGCTTTCGTTTGTTCAGGGTCCAAGCTGTCGCTGAGCTGTCGCTGCGCTGCCGCTGCGCTGCCGCAGAAGCGCGTGAGCGCCTATTCCGCGCGGCCGTCGCACCAGAGGCCACTGCTGCGCAGCTGTCGCATCAGGGGCCCCGTGGCGGGCGTCGCATCAGAGGCCTTCCGCGAAATGCTGCGTGGCTCGGTTAACGACGTCTCTCGAAGCGGCAACGACGTTGTACTCGGCCCTGAACGTGTTCGCGACCCCCTCGGCTGCCATCTGGCAGCCCTGACACGCTTCGGCCGTTCGGTCCATGCTTACTTGCACCTCGAGCAGCACGTTCATCTCCACCCCGGCCGGATTCCTCAGCCCCCGAGCACCGATGGTGGGATGCGGCGCGCCGCCATCTCGGCCGGCTTGCATGCTCGGAACGGAGCTGTTTCTCATTGTCTCGACGCGACTGGCTATCTCACCGACCGCAGAGGCCAGCCGCTGGATCTGATGGTGCATCCCATCATTATCAGTGCTCCTGTCCTTGTCCTTGCAGCCGCGCCTTTGCCCTCGCCCTTCTCCGTGTCCTTGTCCCCGCCCCGAACGCCTTGGAGGGGATCGCTGGCCCTGCTTCTTGACCTGCGCCGACGTGGGGGCCTGGGGATATGCTGCCCCGCGCGCCCTGGGGACCTGCTTCTTGACGGCGGGGGGAAGTTTGGCGGCCTTGGGTCAGGGTTAGCCTTCTCACGCTGCCTCCTGTCTACCTCTCTGTCACTGTAATTTGCCAGCTCCGTCGCTGGCTCCACCTCATCCAGGATCTGGCTCGCAAGTTCGTCGGTCAGGTCATGGTGACTACCCTTCATCAAGTGATGCTTGACGCACCAGAGCACCTGATCTCGGCTCTGGCACGACCAAGCTTTCACATTGCTCCACGAAGCTGCCCTGCATTCATCACTCCTCGGGCATGCAGAACCCTCCGCCAAGTACGCACGTGCCCTTGGTCGTCGTCTGCACGGGCCAACCAGGGATTATCCCCATTCTTCTCGGGGGGGAGATGGGCCATGGCGCCTGCTGCCACGGTTCCCTCGGCTGCCTCTCGAGCGGCATAAGCTTCCGCCCTTGCGGGCGGTTTGCTTGAAGCCTTCATACGGCTAAAGCGCAAAGCGGCTTGGGAGGCGCAGCGTAAATCGCTTTGGACGGCGCAAGTTGTTTTGTGCAGGCGGCAATGGATGCGACGCGCATAAGTATCATGTGGTAAACATACGTTGGCAACATAATAATGAAGCGCGGAGCGCCGTCTGGTCTAAATGGTAACCACATTCTAACGCATAGGCTGTTTCAGCCCCTGCCCCACAAGCGCACTGCGCTGCCGCAAGACCTAGGCCGCCCCCAAGCGCGCTAATCCCCAAGCGCGCTGCGTCGCCGCAAGGATAGGCCACCCTCTCAAGCGCACTGCGCTGTCCAGCAAGGCCACGGACCACCCCCGAGCGCACTGCGCTTGCTGCACGGCAAGCACTGTCATCACACGCGCTCGCGCTGTTAGTTTCTTTCCGCGTAGCGTACAATCATCGCAGCTCGCTCCGCTTCGTTGCAATATCTATCGTTCGCCTTTTCCATATCGCCTGGTGGATGGCTGATGCCACTGGTCAGCGCAGGGCCCGGCTCGCTGCGAAGGTCTTTGCGCAGAAGCAGGCCATCCAGTTGCTGAAGGCCACGGTCAGAAGGCAGGAGCGCGCGTCCAACCGCATCGCGGACATGCGCGCTTCATGGCAGTGGAGCGCAACGCGCTTGAAATCCAGAATGGAGCGCAACGCGCGTTTATACTGGAGTGCAAATCGCTTGATTGAGCTGAGTACATGAAAGCGCGAAGCGCATGCTTGAATTCAAACAGGAGCGCAATGCGCTTGATTGGAAGGAGAGCGAACCGCATGCAGCGCAACGCGCCTGGCAAGCGATGGCATCGCAAAGCGCTGGGGAACAAACAAAAAACGCTAGGGCAGACATAGCGCAACATCATAGAAACACGTGGCCGACCAACAAAGTAAGATCTGCATTCGCAGCATTATGTTTTGTAAACGGTAAAATTATAGGAATTCGAGTGGTTGAAGACAGGGGGAGTTAGGGGATACAGTGGCTTGACATAGGGGGAGGAGAATTCCCATACCAAAAAAAGAAACACACTCAACAAACTATGGCAAGCTATCTTCCACAACTTCCAACGTAACTTCCACATGGCCAACATGACTACCATAACTTAGTTGTGCACATATCAGAAGCCCCGTGCCTCTATAGCCCGACAACCCTGAGAGGATCATGTTTGGGGTTGTTAGTCAGTATCAGTTGTATTATGTGGGCGACCTGCCCGCCCCGCTCGGCATTTTACACGGCGCGCCGCTGCGCAGTCGGCGCCATCGCGCGCAGGCACCTCCTGTCCGCAGGGCGCCAGCGTCCGCTCTCGAGGCCAATCATAGAGGGAGTTGGAGGAACGCAGCATCAGCTTCCAGATGGTTAAGGCACATTTCTTCTGATTCCAGGAGGGGTGCTGCGCATGCATATTTGGCAGAGCTGTGTCAGGCCCAGCAGGACCTTTCGCAGCCGCCAGCGTCGCTCGAGCGGGTCGCTGAGTTCTCTGCCCTTCAACAGCGCGCGCGCGTGCGCGAGCTGCGATCCTGGGCGCCTCCAGGTGCCAGTCCGTTTTTCAGCGGATCAGCGCCGTGTTCTGCGATTTTGACACTGAAATGTCGAGGGCCCTGGGCCGCGAGACCTCTCGGGACCGCCAGGGCGACGACGCCGCCTGGGAACTCTTGGTCGAGGAAGCTATGGATCAAGGCGGTCACCACCTGGCAACCCCACCGAGCTTGGATGCAAGGACTACCCAGATGGTCTGGTCAGCCTGCAGATCTGTCAGAAGCCGAACGGCAGCGTTTGTCAACCCTGTGGCGGGCAGCACCACTGGGGCCAGATATTCCTGAAGCTGACGCGAGACGCCTCGGCCTCGAACCAGCATCAGCAGAGCAGCTTCGCCAAGCTAGCCGCCGTTTCAGCACCACCACAGGTGGGACTTGGGACAGGACCCAATCCAGGCACTTCAGCCTCCTGGAGGACAGTCAGTTGGATATTGTTTGTAGGCGTCGGCTTATCAGGGCAATTGAGAGGATAGGCTGCTTCCCGACTCCTATCAGAGCCATCGTGACCGTTTCATTGGAATGCACAAAGTTGGCCCCGCCCCTGTTTCAAGCTACAGTGGCATAGGTATGATGCCTGGGCTCTAGACAGCCCTGGGCAAGCATCGCCAAGCTGAGCTTCGAGCTTGGGAGCGCAATCGCCATGGGAAGTACATTGCACACCAGTCATGCAAGAGTTCTCGAGGTGGGTTCTGAGCAGGCCATGTATGCCGAGAGAAAGTATTATGCGGGGCTGTTTTTTTTGGGACTTCTAACTACGATGCATATGTGGATAGGACACTTGGGAGGGCCAGAGCCAAGGCAACTATTTTGTCTGACCCCCTAGTACCAGCAACCAGTGCCAAGCCCCGCGCCCCGTTTCCACCCGTGCCTCCGCCCTGCCAGCTGGCTGCCCTCAGCGAGGCATTGCCGCAGGTTGCTGGGCAGCTACGTTTGTTGCGCAGCAGTAGTCTCCCGCCAGTCGACATTCGGGTCGTCAACAGCCTCCGCGTGCCGCCGACGACTTTCACTTTTGAATGCCTGATGTTCAGTCAAAAAATGAACCAGAAGTGCCTTGCCAGAGACCTTGCCAATGCCCCAGCATGCACCAAGCGATCGCTCATGCAAGCATTTCACTGCAGGAGCCTGGCTAAGGAGCAGGGCCCGGAGGACATTCAGAGGTCGAGCCGCCAATCTTTTGTCTCGGTTGCGCAGGCTTTGTACTTTCAAAATGGCAGGTGCACGTATCAGGAAGCATTGGAACACGGGGCTTCAACAAACTGGATATTTTGGATCGATTGACCCAAGCGTGCCACCCGTGCGCGCAGCATCTCCTTGGCACTGGCACTCTTGGAGGACCCCATTTGGCCCTCAGCTCTGGGACCCCGGATCTACTGGAGCCTGGTTTTCTGGAGAGCCTCGCAGACCACCCTCGGCTGCTGGTGCCCTCCTTGATCTCCGCCGTCTCGCGCGCAACGTTATCGAGTCCCCGCCTGCTGGATGGGGAACTGTCATTGGCCCTCGTGGAGCTACCTACCTCGGCCTGCAGAGAATAGGAGTGGCCTTGTCTAACCCCTTCGCCTTCGCCAGCCACGCGGGGGAAACGCTTCCGCTGCCAACCGCTTCGCCAGCCCTTTCGAAGAGTTTCCTGATTGCCGTTCGGCGGGGGGACTTCACATGTGTGGCAGCGCGCAAGATAGGCCCCGACGCCATCGATCTGCTTTGCGCCCAGCAGGCGCCCGGCAGGCAGGGCAGGGCATGCCCGGCAGCGAGCGCAACATTATCCTCGCCTACCTCGCCCAGCCCATCTGGACCCTCGGCCGCTTCAGCGAAGCTGGCTGCGAGACCCCTGCCCGGTGCATATGTGGCGCCCCGCAGGACGACCTCAGCCACAGGCTCCTGGAATGTAGCGCGACTGCCCCGCTTCGAGAAGAGAGCTTGGGCCCCGCTGGCCCAGGCATTCTGAGTTGCCCTGAGGCCTTTGCATAATTCGCTGGTTTTCTTGAGCATCCCCTTTTCAAGGTTCCTTGCCCCCCCCAGGCCTCGGTCTTGATTTCTCGGAATTCTGGCCCGCCTAGAGCCTTCCGCCCGAAGAGGCCTTCCAGAGAGATGCGTTATGTAGACGGCAGTGTAACCAATGATGGGCATCCGTGGGTCCGCGCGCCCTGATGGGCCCCAATTAAGTCAGGGCCCGATGGCTTTCTTTCGGTTTATCCGTTGCGGGCCCGCGGTGCCCCCCCCCCCGACCTCGCCGGCCGCTGAGCTTGCAGCTTGCCTGGCCGCCAGCAGCTTCGGAGGCGCAGCCCGAATGCATTCAGATTCAAGGATCTGTGGATTTTCACAAGGCGGCCCGTTTTGCCAGCAGGAAACACGCGTTTCATGGTTTAGGTTTTTCCGCGAAGCGGGGCGAAGCCAGTCGTGGCGGCGGCTTCAGAGTAGACGAAGTCAGAGCACGCCAGCGTGTCAGCGAGCTAGAGCCCCTCCTCGAACGGTGGCGGCGCGCCACGGCCAGCTCTGAAGCCGACCGAGTGGCGAAGATAGCTGCGAGTCGGATCCCCCGACCCTCGGAGCTCGAGCGCGTCGCGTCTGCCGAGCTTGCTGCACGTACGAGGCGTTTCCTGCAGCGCGTTTGTTCCCAAGGGCTCCCTCGAGGGCGCGAAGTTATTCGCGCTTCGCGCAGCGCGAAGCGCGAAGTTGGGAGCCCTAGCCGTGGCCTTCCCTTGCCACTGATCCTGCGGTCGGTGCAGCTTCGATCTCGGTACTGTGGCATGGCAGGGCCCAGCGGGCCCGGGGCTGCGCCCCCCCCCCCTCCCGCAGGCCCCGAGGTCCGTTCGTGCCGCCCGCGTCTGGCGTCGTCAGAAATGCCCATGGCTCCGCATGGCCCGCCACTCGACATGCATTAAAATGCCCTCCTTCGAGGTCAGAGAGCACGAGCGGTGACCAGGCAACGCAGCGGGCCTGGCCAAGCTCGCACTCCAACCTAATGGTCACCAGATTCCGTTTTTGACAAGATTGAGGATGAATCCTTCGCCTGAGCTTGCAAGGGGCGCGGCAAGTACACCGAGTGTACGTTAAAAAGGGGCTCCAACAGAGATGCCTGGACAATTTCAACAGCACTTTCAGCCAAAGCGCCCGGCAAGCCTTGCGTGAAGGGGGGCACCCCAAGAGGGCCCGAGAGGAGCCAGGTGGTTTTCCAGGCCCCCATCCCTGTTTGAGCGTGCTGCCGAGTGCAGCCCCGCAAGAACTCGGGGCGCCATAGAAGTGAGCGGAGTCTGGCCATCATCCAGTCTTGTTTTCGTGCGCCGGAGGCTTCCCCCTTGTGGTGACGTCCCCACGCGGGTGAGTTTCCAGTCCCGTGGTTTCGAGATGCTCGGGCCGGGATCGGGCTCCCGCGTAGGTCCTCAGACCCCTAGCCTTGTGGGTCGAGACGTGGCCTCAGGCCCCGCTTGAAGACGGCTCAGCGCGACCCTAGCACCCTCTGTTTCTGGATCGGCCCACGCCAGGGGCCAGGTCAGCCACCGTCCTGGCGTTCTCTACACCAGGGATGGCTGTGCCTCGTCGCCCTGGCGTCGCCTCGTGACTGGATCCCGCGCGTGCGTGTGCGTGTGCGTGTGCGCGTTGTGTCTGCACGTGTGTCGGGCACCCCGCCTCAGGGGGAAGGTGCGTTTTCCCGCGGGCGGACAGGGCCCTTCATCGCCCCTTTTAGCGTCGACAGCGACCTGCCGGCTCTGTGGCTTTCCGGCACAGCCTCGGCCGCAGTGGGCAAGATTGGTGGCTCAGCGCCACGAGGTTTCGGGTTTGGGTCGGGCCGGCCAACCCTTCGCCTCCTTCGTCAGCCAGGCGATGGTTTTCCTCCTCCTCCTCCTCCTTCTCCTCTGTTCGTTCCCTCCTCCTCGTCGTCCTCCTCCTTCTCCTCCTCCTCCTCTTCCCCCTGCTCCCAAGCACTGGCGGAGCCTCCTGGCTTGCCTAGCTCGGCCCACCAAATAATGTTTCAAAGGCCTTGTGTGGTTTGCGCGAACTGTTTTCAACAAGGCGTTTCTGGTAGAGACAGACTGTCTTGTTTGAGTGCGTCGGGCTAATGGTCTAAGAACATTGGTTTTGTTATTGGAGCATTCTCTGGTTCTAAGAACATGTCGCGGTAGTCCGTCTCGTATGGGCGCCAGGACGGTCGGTCGTTTCTCAATTTTGAGGGCCAGTGTGCGTCCCAAGTTTCGCGCCACGGTCGTGGCTGCGGTTTTTGGGGCACGTGCGCCGCGGGCGATGTCCGGAGAGCACCAGCCCCCTACCCCAGACAATTTTGCGCATGGTGAAAAAATCACGACGGAAAGTTCTTTGATATCTGTGGCGTCCACGGGCCATAATTGGGCTTCGGGACCATCAGAAAACTATTCAGGCAGGGAATCACTGCGTCGGGGACCTGGTTCTGAGTATTTTGCAAGATTGTGATGTTTTATGGTCTGCACGTGTGTGTGTGTGTGTGTGTGCAGAAGGAGACCCCAAAACGTACAAGCCACACGCTTCGCCTCACACTGTGTTTGCGAGAAGTGCTTTAACTTCTCTTCCTGATGAATTGGACCGTAAAGGATTCGCCACAATGCCGCATGTGCTCGTAGGCGCCTCGTGGGCGCCACGTGTGCTGGGTGGGTCTGTCGATCATTCGCCATGTTGCCGCCCGTGCCCGGCCATGGGCGCCTCGTTGGCTCCCCGTGCGCTGGGTGGGTCTGTCGAGGATTCGCAACGTTGCCGTCCATAGGACGGACCGGGCAGACTTCAGCATAGTCGCCTGGACCACGTCGACTGCCTGACATAGATCGCACCACTTGCGTTCTCCTGTCCAACGGAAGAGCTGCCTCCCCTCCCCGGGCATGTCGGTACAGGTCGAGGACGTGCCCACTCCGTGCCTCGAGGCACGGTGGCAGATGCAACGCAAGTTGCGGTTGGGAGGGTGAGATGATTGCGCTATCAGTGGTTTCGACGACTTCGAGGCTTGCAAGGTGCATTGCGCCACGTCGAGTACACCACATAGCTTGCACGACGTGCCTTGCACCACACATCCATCTGCTTGCGGCAAGGTTTGGCACCGTGCCAGCCCAGCATTATGAGTGGCGGGAAACGCCTTGGTCTGTGACGTGTTCCGTCTTCACTTCTTGAGGAGCGCTCATGGCGCTCGTTGGGTCTGCCTTGTGAATGTCTCTGCCTCTTATGGGACGTTCTTGGGGGTCCCTTGTGGCCGTTTAGGGGCTTTATTTGGCCGTGGTACGGATCAGGAGGGGGCGGGCTTTCAGAAGGCTCGGAAGGCCTCGGGTATTCTGAACAGTTTCCGAAGCTCTTCGTGCAGACGCAGAAAACCGTTCAGAAAGCGTGAGCGTTTGTGAGGAACCCCAAAGCCTGCTGAGAAGACATTTCCCCTCTTTCACTTCCTCCTGGGCTCGCCGCCGTCCAGCAGGGATGATGCTCCGGGCGATCAGCGGCCGGTGCCGCCCCCGCCTTGCCCGGTCGGCGATGACGCAGGCGCTCCTGCCCGCAGCGCGGCTCCCTTGCCGGCGGCTGTCGTCGTTGGCCGGGTCGTCGTTGTGTATTATTGACCGAAGAACCCCAGGTTAGCCCACGGTTCTATTGTCAGGTCATTCATGGGAGCCTCAGAGGGTCCGACATTTGGTCGAAATCATGTTATGATAGGGCTGCGGAGGTCCACGGGGGCTCCCGTGAAAGCTCACCCAAGCCCCCGAAGGCCACCCGAAAGAACAAATTTCCGGGTTGTGTGAGAGAGTGTGCGGAATTGTTTTTTCCAGCGTTTTGGAGAGCCCTCAAACTGGAAAACTCAGTTTCGGTTGGGCACTTCCCGCCCCGAATCCGACCTTTCGAGTGGCCTTCGAGTTGGGTTGTGGTGGTTTGGTAGTTGGTCAGTCGTCGTTGGGAATCGACATTGTTTCGATCGTTCTCTTTCCACTGTGCTGCAATGGGAGTTCCATTTCGGGCTCCTCAGAGTTTGGTCCATGATGGGAATTTGTCCAGATTGAATCCTGGCCTGGGATGCATCCCTGGATCGATCTTGAGTTGATTTTAGGATCGTCATCGTCGTCGTTGTCGACGAGGAACGCGTGGACGTCGTGGTCGTCCTGGTGGTGGTGGTGGTCATCGTCGTCATGGTCGTCGTGGTCGTGGTGGTCGTAGTAGCCGTCGTCATCCGTTGTCGTCGTAGTCGTCGTGGTAGTCAAAGTCGGCGTGGTCGTGGTGCTGGTGGCCGCGGTTGTCATGGTTCTAGGCGTCGCCGTGGTCGTCGTCTTTGTGATGGCCATCGGTTTTCATCGTCCGCCAGCCACCGTCGTCGGCCGTCGTCATTGTCTTCGTTATCCTCGTGTGAGGGAACGAGGGTTGAGGAAGCGGAGGAGGAAGGCGGAGCGGGCGTAGGTGTGCGACGAGGGGGAGGTGTATTTAGGAATGAGGGAACGGAGGGGAGAAGGGTGCCAGAACGGGGAGGGCGCATGACGGAGGAAGGGGGAGGAGGATCGGTTTGGATCGATTCGGCAGCAGGAAGCGTCAAGCTCCGCAGCGCCGTCTGCTCCCCCGCCCCCCCATCTGCCGGGGGGGGCACAAGGGTGGAGTTTGAAGCTGACAGCATTCTATCCCGCCATGCCCGGCGAAAAAACAATCCGCCCAGCGGAAGATGGGGGGAGAAGGGAGAGGAGCCCAAGTATTTCGCAGGAGTAAGAGGAGGAGGATGTTGCTTTGCCCGTTCGGGTACCGGTATAACGTGCCACCAAGCACGGCGCGGGCGAACATGCCCATCGTGGCGCTCAGCAAAGCGCGGTCCAACAGGGGCACACGTGTTCAAGGAGGAAGCAGGCACAAGCTGTATCCGTCCTCCGGCCTCCTATTATTGGCTAACCCCCAATAGCGCCGAAACGTCGTGCCTTAGGGGGGAAACCAACAAATAGGAAGCAACGGGCAGGACCACAGCATTGGACCAGCAACCGCAACCCCGCAGGGTGAGGTCGCCCCCATGGCCCCTTCCCCCCCAGCCAACAAGCGGGGCAGGAGGAGGCCCCACCAGGGGCGGGGTGGTCTAGTGCTGGGCCTACCCAGCAAGACAACACGGAGCGGTATCCAGCGCCAGAACCTCATCATAACACGGCGAGCAATTTGCCCGCGGCAGTGAGCATTCCAACCAAAGTGGTTGGGCGCTGTATGCCGCGGGCACCTGCCTCCGCATCATCATCGGCAGTACACCTCATACAGGAGGTGCCGCACGGCGCCCAGGCTGCACCGCTTGGCCGCGGTGGCAGGGACTTTAAAAATACCCTGGCCTGACGGCGTAAGAGGAGGAGGAGGAAGTTGGAGATATAGTAGGAGGAGGAGGAGTGGAGGCGCAGGAGTAGTAACTGGGAGGATTCCTTTGGTTCGGCTCGAGCTTGGCGAGTCGCCTGCCAGACGGGAGCAATCGCCCTCCCAGGCGCGAGTGGTGCCTTCGGCGCGCCCACGAAGGGGGGCTGGCCAAATCCCAGCCGCACCTCCGGGCAGCCGCTGGCCTTGAAGGAGAAGAGGGAGCTTCCGAGGCGGACCAGGCCAGGCTGCAGCCACAAGCTCCTAGCCTTGATAACCATAATGGATTTCGAGCACCAGAAAAGTACCGAAACTCAAGGGTTTTCACGTGTCGCGCCCCGGGAGACACTGCTTCGACACAGTTTCGACACTTTTCTGGGTGCTCGAAGTTATTTATGGGAAGTGGTCCTTAAGTACGATGGGAGCAACATAACCCTAGACGTTGGCGCCGCCCCCTTGTCGTCAAGGGCTTGACGGCTTCTGCTGTCCCTCGAGTCGCGCCGTAGCGTCCACGATGTGTTCTCCAATGCTCCCTGCAGCTATCTGGCTCTGCCTCGATCTGTCCGGACGGGCCCCGATTGATTTGGCTTTCTCTCCGCGTCCCCCCCCTGACCTTCCAGGAGGGCTAAACAATAGCACCAGGGCATCGACGTCCTAATTCCGGTCGAGGTTTGCGGTCGACCTATAGGTCTGGAATGCTTTTTTTTAAGCACTCTGGAAGGTCAGGGCCTCCCTCCCACATGACGCCCGTGAGGAAAATGAGGTCCCTGTTAGATGCTCGATCATGGACACCTTGTTGAACGCAGCCATCCAGCTGTCGCGCCGCTGAAAACCGCCACAGACCGCCGAAAACCGCCGAAGACTGTCCGAAGACCACCGAAGACGGCCCATGAGCGATGGGCAACACGGGGCCCACAGTCGAACACGTAGGCCTGTAAGCCGACGCTGCCGATCCGCGCGGCGCGCCCCCCTCGCCCGCCTTTTTTTGGGCGGCGGCCCGCCCAGACCCGCCCTGCCCGTCTGTCTCTCGGGGCGATCGAGATGGGTACAGGAAGAAGGGGTACAGTGCTGTTTGTTTGGAGCAGGACTCGCCGTCGGCGTCGCCGCGGGCGTTGGCCGCTGGAGACAGAACGCGGCCTGCCCAACTGCCGCCGCTGTCGATGCTGGGCAGCATCTGTTGCTGTGCTGTCGAGTACTGTGCCCGTCTTCTCCCGTGCCCATCTTGGGCGTCCGAGCGCCTCGGCCGGCGGCGCCGGCAGGTGCTCTCCGAGCCCATGGTGTGGAACCAGGCGCCCGGCGTCGCTGTCGCCGCCGCCGCTTCCGCCGCCGCCGCCGTCTTCGTCCTCGTCGATGTTGTCCTCGTCCTCGTCCTCAGCGTCTTCATCGGGGGGGAGAAGGACAGAGACCCCCATCGCGCCGTGAACAAAACATCACCGCGGTAGGTTTTTAGTAGTTTTCGGCCTCACGGGGCCCTTTCCAGACCCTGGGGCCGTTCAATGACGACTCAGGAAAACTAAACGCCGATCGCCGGGGACGGGTCCAGACCTTTCGGGGGTCCTCATCATGAAAGACTTACGGCGTCGGGGGACCGGGGAGTTAGACGGTCGCGTTGGAGGTGTTTCTTCGGTTGGGGCCTGCTGGATCTCTTTTCGGATTTTGGGACCGTCGCGCATCGTGTCGGCATCGTCGAATCACCTGTATACTATGTGTGCGTCGGCCTCCCAAGGGCGACGCGCGAGCTCACACGTCTTCAGTATATGTTAGGTGAGAGGCGATATCTGTGCCGATAGTCTTGGTAGTTAATGTTCATTACGCTGCAACATATATGTGTGACATGTGACCGGTAATGCGTCTCTCAGGGAGGCGCAAAAAACACCTGTCAGGATTGTAACGAGGCCGGAATATGACGGGAGGCGTTTCAGAAATAATGAACACATATTTTCCACATATGTTGCACACGTTCCGGAAATTCTTCGGATCGTTTTCGGGTTTTTTCCTCGCGGGGCCGGAAACGTTCCCGAAATTCTCCAGAAATGCTTAAGATACATGTTGGACATATTCTGGAAATACTTTTCGAATTTGTCGGAAATAGTTTGGAAATACTTTCCGGGGGCCAGAACTTGTCCGGACGTTCTCCAGGTTTCTGTTTGACATCTGTTTGCAGCATTTTGCAATTATTTCGAGAAGATGTTGGAAACATTTGCCTTACATAGTTTCGAAATACTTTCTGGGGGCCGGATTTTGTCCGGAAATTCCCCAGACATATTCTCGACATATGTTGGGGATTTTTTTGGGAAGTTTCCGGAAATTGTTTTAATTTTGACCCGTGGTCGAGGGGGGGGGCCGATTTTAAGTGAATGTCGTCGTCGCCGTCGTCGTCGTTGTCGATCTCGCCGCAGTCTTGGAGAGGTCCGCGCGGGAAGCCGGAGGGCGACGGAAACAGTCAGATCGATGAGTAGAGTTGCGGGCAGTTTTCTTTGAAGTCGGTAACATGTTTTTTCCGGTAATTGAAGGATTCGGCGAAAGTGTCCCGCCGATTTTTGTGGCCGGCTGAGTTCACGGTTTCCTGGTTCTGGGTTCCCCGGGTTCTTGGTTCTTGGTTCCTGGCCGATTTCGGTAGGTTCTGGGTTCCGGGGTTCTTGGTCGATCTCTTTCTCGATCAAACCATCCACCAATTGGGGTTCTTCTTTGGTGTAATTCGACGTCAGACATTTGCCCGTGGGTTTTCCTGGTGGCCGGTCGGCTTCTGAGGGGGCCGCCGGTGGCCGGCGCCGGGGCTCCCGCTCACAGGCCCGGCGATTTGCGGCGGGTTCGTGCGGCGTTGGCGAGCCAGCGGCGCTGGCGAAGGCGTTCAAGGTTGAATGCTGCGACGCGGAAGCTCCGGGGAACTCAGTAACGCCGTTGGACCGTTGGACCCGACGGAATTCAAATTTGAACGATCGGGGCTGCGTTCGATTCGAGGTTGAATGATCGACGTGGTGTCAAAAGCCTTTGCGCGCGCCGACGCCGCGCGAACCTACCTTACGACGGCAGACAACGACACGTGAGCGTTTTTTTGATTCGGCGTTTCGACATTGGGCGGAAGGGGGGAGGGCGGGGGGTCTGGCTCTGGACCTCGGCTTACTGCGACGGTTTGCAACAGTGTGTCCACCATGGGTGAGACTCCACCCGCTCGAAACATGCGCCAAAAGCAGCAAAGATCTATACTCCATACGGGGGGGCGGGAGGAGGGTGTGCGAGGGCCCGCGCCGATCGGCAAATACAATGAATAAACAAACGATCACCACCGATTCTTGGACAAAGCAGGCCCTGGACAGGGATTCGTGATTCGTGGGCCAGGGCTGGACCTGAACGCTGTTTTGCTGGGCTTCGGCCGTGTTTGGTGTTTCGTTTTGGCAGGGAGGTGCAGGAAGACAGGTAGAGCAACACGAAAAACAGAGCGAGAACAAAACGGAAAGCAACGTTCAGGTCCAGCCCTGCCGTGGGCATCCGGAGTCGAGAGCTTCGTCGCGTGGCTCATCGAGCAGGGAGACGGCACGCGCGGAGCTGCGCCCCTCGCGGGCCCCTTCGGGGCCGCAGCCACGTCCGTTTCCACTTCCGCCTCCCCCCTCCTGTCAGGAGGGAAAGAAACACAGACACAATTAATCGTCGATCCCCGAGAAAATATGGGAAAATATAGGAAGTGGGGGGGAAGACAAAAACCCAGAAAATATAGGAAAATATGGGGCATCTTTTTATCTGTGTGTACTTATTTGTGTGTCCCAGTTTCCCTTCATCCTGGGCTCCCGTGCTGTGCTCGGCTCTGCCGTGGCCGAACGGGTCTCGCCCGCGGCAGCCTCCGGTGGCAGATCGTGGGAGCCCCCTGCACGCCCTCGTGCACCTCCGCTCCTGGAGCGCGCCGGCGTCGACTCGCGCCTGGTGGTCGATGGGGCGGCGCCGATGCAGCATCGGTTGGCGTGGGTTGGCGCCGAGGTAGCGTCCGGTTCGCGTGCGTTCGCAGGAGCCGACGGGATGGCACGGGGGCCTCCCAGGTGAGTTGCCACCGGAGCATCCTGGCCTTTGCTGCGCCCGTGGTGGGCTGTGCCCGGTGCTGGCCGGCAGGGGCCCGCCCACCCGCTTCTCGGTGGGCAGCGTGCGCTGGCTGCCGCGACGGCCCGTCGGGCCCCGCACGCGGGGGCTCACAGCGCGCGCAGCCTGAGCGGTGCAGGACGGGTAACGGTTTGGGAGCCGGTCGCTGGCATCACCTTCCGATGTATTATCGTATTTTGTATTAGCTCTCTGTCTATCCACCCCCTCTCCCTTGATATGCGTACATGTTTGTGTGTGTGTGTGTGTGTACGAACGTGTCTGCATGTATTGTTCGTTCATTTTCTCCACGCAGCACTGCTGTGCGCTGGGCCCGCGTTTTGACTCGGGCACGGCGGCTCCTTTCTCCCTCTCGTCTTTCCCTCCTCTCCTCGTCTTCTTTGGCTGCCCCCGGGGCAGGCAGAAGATGGCCAGAAGTGGTCCGTCGTGATTCCTCTCGCTTCGCGGGGTGCACGTCCGGAGCACGTACAGTCACGTCGCGGGGCCTTCTGGGAACCTCTTGGGGGCCTCCGGGAGGCCTCTTGGGAGCTTCTTTGGGCCTCTTGGGGACTTCTTCTGGCCTCTTCCCCCCCTTTTTTGACTCCCTCCCCATCTTCCCTTCCAGCGCTGGCTCTAATCATGGGCGCCGCCGTGACCAACTTCCACCTGGCTGGCGCTGCGCCGCAGTTCGTCCAGGGGGGGAAATAATATTACACTCCAGTCGCTATGTGGCCTTTGGGGGGCTTCTTTGGGGCCTTTTGGAGGCTTTTTGGGGACTTTTCGGAGGCCTCTGGGGGGCTTTTTGGGGCCATTTGGGGGCCTCTTGGTGGCCTCTTGGGGCCTCTTGGGGGCGTCTTGGGCCGTCTTGGGGCGCTTTCGCGCCTTTGGCCCCTTCGGAGGACTTCTTGGGGGCCTCTCGCGGTCGCCTTGGGGCCCTCTTGGGGTCCTCTTGGACCGTCTCATTTCTTGGGCCGTCTTGGGGGCCTCTTTGGGCCGTCTTGTGGCCCTCTGGGGCCGTCTTGGGGCCCCCTTGGGTGTTTCTTGGGCCTTCTTGGGGCCATCTTGGAGGCTGCTTGGGCCGTCATGGGCTTCGGAGAGGCGAAAAAAGGCGAGAAAGCTGAAATCTTTCAAAAACGTAAGGAACATCGATGTTTTTGGCCTCTGGAGGCGCTCTTGTGGGCGCTCTTGGAGCCCTCTTGGGCCGTCTTGGGTTCTTTTCGGGCCCTCTTGGGGCCATCTCGGGCCGTCTTAGGGCCGTCTTGGGCCGTCTTGGGGCCATCTGGAGCCGTCTTGGGGCCCTCTTGGATCCCCAAAAGGTTCAAGGTGCCCAAATCATCGGTTTTCCATAGGTTTTTCTAGATTCTGAGGCCCAGAAGGGGCCCTCCTCCTGAGGGTCGATGGAAGTGGCGCGACTCCAGGGGGGGGGTTAGGGGGGGAGTCATAATAATGTAATACAATACAACATGTAGGAATTATGCAAGCATTGGACACATTGGATCCATTGCATTACAGCATCCGCGGACCTGCCTCCGGCAACACGTCACTTCCGGACGTGGATTCCTCTCGCTTCGCGGGGTGCACGTCCGGAGCACGTACAGTCCAGCCGTTGTGGGTTTTTTTTGGAAGCCTCCTGGGGGGTTCTTGGAAGCTTCTTGGAGGCTTCCTGTGGCGTTTTGGGGGTCTCCTGGGGGCCTCTTGGCGGCCTCTTGGGGGCGTCTTGGGCCGTCTTGGGCCGTCTTGGGGCGCTTTGGCGCCGTTTGGCCCCTTCGGGTGCCTTTTTGGGAGCCTCTCGCGGCCGCCTTCGGGCCCTCTTGGAATCCTCATGGGCCGTCTTGGGGGCCCCTTGGACCGTCTTGGGGGCCTCTTTGGGCTGACTTGGGGCTCCCTGGGGTTGTCTTGGGGCCACCTTGGGTGCTTCTTGGGTAGTCTTGGGACCATTTTGGAGGCTGCTTGGGCCGTCATGGGCTTCTGAAGAGCCGACAACACCGAGAACGCTGAAATCTTTGAAAAACTAGCAAAAAATCATGGTTTTGGCATCTGGAGGCCCTCTGGTGGGCTTTCTTCGGGCTCTCTTGGGCCATCTTTGGGGCGTTTCGGGCCCTCTTGGGGCCATCTTGGGCCGTCTTGCGGCCGTCTTGTCCCGTCTTGAGACAATCTTGAGCCGTCTTCACGCCGTCTTGGACCCTCAAGAGGCCCAAGGAGCCGAAATCATCGATTTTCCACAGGTTGTTATAGGTTTTGAGGCCCAGAAGGGGGCCACCACTTTTGGTACGCCCGGAGGTCTGGCGAGGGGCGCACGGGAGCGGCGCCGAGGGCGCCGCCCAATGAGTGGGTCGTCGTCGTTGCCGTCGCCGTCGCCGTCGCCGTCGCCGTCGCCGTCGCCGTCGCCGTCGCCGTCGCCGTCGTCGTCGTCGTCGTCGTCGTCGTCGTCGTCGTCGTCGTCGGCGTCGGCGTCGCCGTCGCCGTCGCCGTCGCCGTCGCCGTCGCCGTCGCCGTCGCCGTCGGCGTCGGCGTCGGCATCGTCGGCATCGTCGGCATCGTCGTCGTCGTGGGCGCTGGCGGTCAAACCTTTCGCGGGCGTCTGAACCTGATGCTCGTGCTCTTTTGGGGCCGTCGCCGAGGTTCGCGCCGAGGTTCGAGCCTCGAGGGTCGAGGTTCGTGGCCTTCTTTCCGTCGAGGGCTTCCCCGTCGCCACGGCTGGACGCAGCTCGAAAAACTGACGACGACGACGCAGAGAACGACGGTTTCCCGCTGCCCGAGCCCTGTCGCGTCGCGCAAAGTCGCCACCAGCAGCGGAGCGCTGAGCCTGCCCGACGGCACACAGGGCAAACATGTTTGTCCCATTCAGGCGCAGAGACTGCGAGGTCGCTGATGCCGCGTGGATCTCCTGAAACACAGATGTTGGCTTGAATGGCATGCCGTCTCCTGTAGTCCTCTGCGGTGGCGTTTCCTGTCGTCTTCTGCGGTGGTCTGCCGCGCCGTCCTGCAATCGTCGAGGCATCCATATGGAAACGTCCTGGAGTGGTGAGTTGGGAGCTCCTTGGGTCCCTTTCAGGGACTTCTGCCGGCTTTTGGAAGGCTTCTCGGGCGCATTTGAGAACCCCTGAAAGCCTCTTGGGTTTTTTTTGGGGGCGTCTTGGGCCGTTTTGGGGCGCTATTTCGGAATCTTTTGGGGGGGTCATGGAGGCTTCTTCGGGGCTTCCCGGGTCTTTCGGGGGGCCTCTTGGGGGCGTTTTGGGCCGTCTGCGGACGCTTGGAGCCGTTTGGTCCCTTCGGGGGACTTCTTGGGGGCCGCTCGCGGCCGCCTTGGGGCCCTTTTGGGGTCGTCTTGGGCCATCTTGGGGTGCTCTTGGGCCGTCTTGGAGGCCTCTTGGATCGTTCTGGGGGCCTCTTTGGGCCGTCTTGGGGCCCCTTGGGTGCTGCTTGGGCTGTATTGGGGCTATTTTGGAGGCTGCTAGAGCCGTCATGGGCCACTGAGAGCCGGGAAAGGGGAGAACGCGAAATTCTTTGAAAAAACTTAAGGAAATGCTATGTTTTTGGCCTCTGGCGGCGTTCTGGTGGGCGCTCTGAGGGCCCTCTTGGGCAATATTGGGGGCTTCGTGGGCCCTATTGGGGCCATCTTGGGCCGTCTCGGGGCCGTCTTGTCCCGTCTTGACACCGTCTTGAACCGTCTTCGCGCCCTCTTGGATCCCCCAAAGGCTCAAGGTGCCCAAATCATCGGTTTTCCATAGGTTTTTTTTCCAGATTTTGAGGCCCAGAAGGGGCCCTCCTCCTGAGGGTCGATGGAAGTGGCGCGACTCCAAGGGGGGGTGGGGGGGGGGGGGGGGGGGCACATAATAATGTAACATAATACAACATGTAGGATTATGCAAGCATTGGACACATTGGATCCATTGCATTACAGCATCCGCGGACCTGCCTCCGGCAACGCGTCACTTCCGGACGTGGATTCTATAGGCTTACGCCACATCCGCCGACCCCTCTAGAAAGTTCTGCGCGCCCAGGACTGCATTCCACGAGGCTTGTCCGATTCCTGGGAGGTTCTTGGGGGCGTTTGGGGGCTCTGTGCGGGCTCCCTGGGGGCTTCTTGGGGCGTCTTGGGGGCTTTTTGAGGCAACCTGGGGGCGTGCTGGGGCCGAAGGCTGGAAATGCGGGATCGGGTTCTCCTTGTGGCCCCCCTTTTGGCGCCGTCCAGGGGCCTTCTGAGGCCGTCATCGGGGCTTCTTTGGCGGTCGTGGGACCTTTGTGGGCCGTCTTGGAGCTGTCCTAGGGGTCTTCGAGCCTCTGAGGCCCTCTTGGAGGCCTCTTGGGCCGTCTTGAAGGCCGCTCAGGGGCCTCTTGGGCCGTCTGGGGCCATCTCGAGGCCATCTTGGGCAGTCTTGGGTGCATCTTGGGCCGTCTTGAAGGCATATTTGGGCCATCTTCGACGTTTTGGGGGCCATCTTGGCCGTCTTGGAGGCCATCTTGGGTCATCTTGGAGCCATGTACAGGCCATCTTACCCCATCTTGGGTGCATCTTGGGCCGCCTTAGCCGTCTTGGAGGCCATCTTGGTCGTCTTGGAGGCCTGTTGGGGCCCTCTGGGGGCCGTTTTGGGGGCCTCTTGGACCGTTATAGGACCATCTTGGAGGCCCCGCGGGTGATCTTGGGGCGACCTTGGGAGCCTCTTGGGCCGTCTTGAGCCGTCGGAATACCAAACAACGAGAATCTGCCAACATCCCTCAAATCCTCTAGGAACATCAATGATTTTGACCTCTTCGGGTCCTCCTGGAGGGCCTCTTGGAGGCCTCTTGGGCCGTCTTGGAGGCCTCTTGGGAGCCTCGTGGGCAGTCTTGGGCCATCGTGAGGCCATTCTAGGCAGTTTTTGGTGCATCTTGGGCCGTCTTCGAGGCATCTGAGGGCCATCTGAGCCGTCTTGGAGGCCATCTTGGTCGTCTTGGAGGCCTCTTGGGGCCCTCTTGGGGGCGTCTTGGGGGTTTCTTGGGCCGTCCTGGGGCCATCTTGGAGGCCTCGTGGGTGATCTTGGAGCGATCTTGGGGGCCTCTTGGCCCGTGTTGAGCCGTCGGAATGCCAACAACAAGCAAATGCCAAAATCCTTCAAAAACCCTCAGGAACATCAATGATTTTGACCTCTTCGGGTCCTCCTGGATGACCTCTTGGAGGCCTCTTGGGCCGTCTTGGAGGCCTCCTGGGGGCCTCTTGGGCCGTCGTGGGCCATCTTGAAGCCATCTTGGCCCGTTTTTGGTGCATCTTGGGCCGTCTTCGAGGCATCTTGAGGCCATCTGAGAAGTCTTGGAGGCCATCTTGGCCGTCTTGAAGGCCTCTTGGGGCCCTCTTGAAGCCGTCTTGGGGGCTTTTTGGGCCGTCCTGGGGCCATCTTGGAGGCCTCGTGGGTGATCTTGGAGCGATCTTGGGGGCCTCTTGGGCCGTGTTGAGCCGTCGGAATGCCAATAGCAAATCCCAAAATCCTTCAAAAACCCTTTGGAAAACCAATGGTCTTGGCTTTTTCGAGCCTTCCTGGAGGACCTCTTGGAGACCTCTTGGGCCGCCTTGGGCCGTCTTTGGGCGTTTTGGAGGCATCTTGGGCCGTCTGGATGCCATCTTGGGCGCCTTGGAACGATCATTCGACGATTCGGGGTCCTCTTGGATCGTCTTGGGGCCCACTTCGGCCCTCTTGGCCTGTTTTGGGGCCCTCTAAGCTCCCATGACGCGTCCGGGCCGGGCCCGGGGGGGGTTCGAATTGCCAGTTTGGGGTCCCCAGGGGGGGGTATGGGGGGGGGGATAAACACGCCCAGAGGGGGTCGGCGGATTTCTTCCGCCAGCGAGGAGAGGGGTTCTGGGAGGACCCGCTTCCACCAGAATCCCCCAAGGAGGATGATCCAACCCCCACCCCACCAGGGCGATCAGGCAGAGCAGTGAATGGCCCGTGTTCAGTTCTTGAGAGGGTGCTGCGGCAGGTCTTTGTTTTCACTGAAGGGTGCTTTGCTGAAGGCGCGACTGCACCAGAGCGGTCTCAACCTGTCGTCACGTCCAGTGACTGCTGGGTTCGAGCCTCGGTGGCCCACGCTTCGCTCCGCACGCTCGGAGCCGAGCCGAGCGTCGTTGCCACTGCAGCGCGTGCCCGCACGCACCTGGCACGAGCAGCTGCAGGTGTGCCCGCATGTGTGCGCGTGCCCACCCTCGCCCGCTTCCGCCGAGCCAGCGAAGGGCCGCTGCCTCCTTCTCCTGGGCCAGGGCCAGCCCCGCCGCCGCCTCCCGCCGTGCCGGCTGGAGCACTCGGGGGAGGAGCCTGCCGACGACGCTGCCGCCGGCCGTGGCCGCCCGCGAGGCGCCTGCGCTGACCACCACCCTGCCCAACGGCGTGCGCGTCGTCACCAAGGAGGGCTTCGGAGACCTGCCCTGGCCCCCAGATGCGCCCCTCGCTCTCCGGCGCGACTGCCGCGGTTCGAGCCTCGCTGCGCGCTTCGGCGGCCAGCCCAGGGGGGGGGGGAGTGCGAGGGGGGCGGCCTGCGCAGAAGGCTCGGAAGTTTGCCGGCCTCTTCTGAGAAGCGGTCTCCCGGTTTTCCCCGAAGACACCGGGCACTCCTCAGAGGGCGCGAGGGTTCCTGAGGAGCCCCGCCGCTTTTTGAGAGGGCCTTCTGCCTCTCACTTCTCCCCCTCGCTCGCAGCCGGGTCGTGGCTCGAGCATCGTGGCGCGATGTCCGATCCCGAACCGAACCTCCTGGTCGGTTTTGGAAATCGCCGCGGCGCTCGCGGCGGCCACAATTCGGGTGAAGGTGTTTGTCGAAGAGTGACATGCCCCTTCCCAGCTCCCCCGTTCTGCTGTGTAAACGCGGCTCATAAATGGTAACGTCACCAATCTATGTTTATCTGGGCAGTCATTTTTTTCGGTCAGGGGTCGACTATCACGCAAGCAGAGCAGGTTCTTGGACGTATTTCGCCATCTCGGAGGCTTCGCGTCAGCACGGCTGTATTCCCCTCGGAATACTGGCCGCCACGCGGCCCCGGACAGGTCCAGGGCTCGACTTTTGACCCCTAGCCTCAAACCCTGCGCGTTGTGGATCACTGAACGCGTTCCACAACTCGCAGAGTGCCTACTCGCAAACGTCCGACAAAAAGTACATGTCTGCATCGATGCCATGTATCGGAAGCCCCACATGGCGGATCCTGGCCATTTGCGAGCAGTTGTTGTGCGAGTAAGGGAACGCGCTTGTCTAGTGGAGAACTCGTGGCTGGAGGCTGCGGAACCTTTGGGAGGGCCGGTGCGGGCCCGAGGGCCGACGTGGCCAAGCGATCGGCGGCCAGAACACCCTGCGAGAGGCGGCGGATCGACAGGCAAACATGGAGCGGTTCTCGCGTTGTCAGAATCTAGGCCTCCTAGATGTCGAGCAGTGGCGAAGCGTCCTGGCTTGCCTATAGGCCTACCAGCGAATGTTCTAAGAACCTTTTGAGGTTTGCACGACATGTTCTTAGAACACGTCTGGTTGAAATTGTTCTGTTTTAACACATCGGGTGAATGCTCTAAGAACGATGTTTTTGTTCTTAGAATATGTTTGGGGGTTCTAAGAACATTTCGTGGTAGGACTATGGAATGCGGGGACGGTCGCTCCCTGCTCAAAGATGGGGTCCGAATAGATGGGGTCGGATAATCGCGCCGTATCTCCGACGCATCAGCGATGTGGCTTGATGGGGAGCCCGATTTTCTCGACGCTGGCATCGCCGATGCATCAGCGATGTATCACCGATGTATCGGCGATGCGGCGCGATCCTCCGACCCCATCTACTCCCACCCCATCTAGGAAGCCCCTACAGAAACCAGAGCCGCCGACATGGTCGGGGCGAGAACCAGCCTGGCTCCCCAAAAGGCAGTTCCGCTTTCTCCACGGATTGAACTCGATACGATAGGATGGATTAATTGCGCAGAAGATCTGATGGATCAGTGGCTCGTGATCAGGGGCGACCTTCAGACGGCCATCTAGGTCGGAGGGAGTAGAGGAGGTGAAAGGGGCTCACGAAGTAGGTTGTAACACTTGGGAGGTTGAATCAGTTATTGACCTTGGCATTTCCCGCGTGCTGATCTGGTCTCTGTTGGTTTGACCCAGTTTCACTTGGTCTAATCTGCCACAATCCAAGTTCAGCAGTGCTTTCTTATGGCTCAATTTGGCGGCATGCCGCAAGCCTCCGACGTTGTGAGTCATTCTCGTTTTGGGCCCTGGGACCCACTTCCTGGGGCAGTTCTTCCGCAGCGGATTTTTTAATTGGTGATGGCCCAGGGACCGTAACGCCCCCCCTCGCCTCTCTTTTCTCCTTTCGTCGACGGCCCCGTTGTCGTCTTTCTCCTCCCCCGCCTTGCCCGTGCGCGTTTCCGAGGCCAAGATCTAGTCATTACCGAGAGGATTCGCTGGGCGGTGGCCGTGTATATGTTCAGGCCTCCTGGACCAGCATATGAACATTTCCCAGGTCCACCGCCGCGGTGCCAGGACGTCGGTTCCCCAGGCGGTGGACATGCGGTTCCCCAGGCGGTGCCAGGACGTCGGTTCCCCAGGCGGTGCCGGGACGTCGGTTCCCCAGGCGGTGCCAGGACGTCGGTTCCCCGATCGTGCTCTGCCTCGCACCCTATCCCTCCTCGGCTTGTCCTCCCTCCCCCCGCGTCTCCCCCTGCCTCCTCTCCCTCGGCGCCGCTCCCACGTGGGGGGGCTGGCCGACGCTGGGCGCTGCTGCTGCTGCCTAGTCCTCCTCCTCCTCCTCCCCCTCCTCTTCCTTCTCCTCCTCCTCCTCCTCCTCCTCCTCCTCCTCCTCCTCCTCCTCCTCCTCCTCCCCCTCCTCCTCCTCGTCCCCCGCGCCTCGTCGTCGTTGGCGCGCTCGTCCTCGTCCTCCCCGCGCTCTCCTCCTTCCCGTGCCTGCAGCGCTCCCTCCCGCCGCCCCGCGCGCGCGGGGGGGGGGGGCGCGCGAACACGCAGAAGGGGGCGGGCTGGAGGGGGGGGGGGATGGATGCGGGAGGCAGGAGGAGGAGGCGGAGGGGGAGGGGGAGGGGGAGGGGGATGGGGGAGGGGCTGGAGGAGGAGGGGGTGGCGGAGTGGACGAGGGGGAGGGGGAGGAGGAAGGGGACCAGTGTGAGCCCAAGACTCATCATCGATGTTGGGGCACACCCACCATCCCTCCAGGCTCCCGCTCCATCGGCCCCTCCAAAGGGAAGTGCCCCGTTGTGAGACAACTTCGTGAGAATCTCGAAGCGCACCAAAGCATTCTTCTCGGGACCTCAACGTCAAGAGTCAACCTGACTGTCGCGTCTTGGCGATCCTGAACCGTGCCAGAACATCATTCCTGGGATTTCAACACTGCCTTTCGAGCAACAAACGAAAGTCTCATGTCGGGCCTATCCCTCTGCAGGAGGAAAACGTGTTCAAAAATAGTGAAGAATAGTATGGGGACGATTTTTTGAGTATTTTGGAGCATGTGCTCAGTTCCAATTTAACTACGTTTTTTTCGTCCAACATCCGCCTGTAGGGGACACGCCCGACTCGACAGCAGTCGTACATTCTTCTGGTGCGGAATCGGGAGCGCGAGCACGCAGGTCGTGCAGTTCGTCCAGGTGTCCGGCGAGAGTCCCCCCTAGGCCGAGACCAGG